AGACAATGGATCAGGGCAACAGGATGTGGGACATCCTGCTTCTCCCTCCCACCAGCATCCCTCCCAGTGCTTCCCTGGCACCAACTCTAGCACTCACTGGATGTCTCTATGAGTCAGTTTAAATCACTAATGTGGAAAAGATCTACCCTAAGGGGAAAAAACAATTATATTTAAAAATAAATAAATACCACTGGATAATTTTCTGTTAGTATGTTCAGAGAACTTCATGAATGTCAAGGAGAGGATGTTGCTGCTTCCCTGGCACAGGTTAAGGAGAGAGGAGAAGCACTGGGAAAGATCAAGTCCCATTGCTTTCCTCTGCAGTCAGGTCTTCCAACAGCCCAGCTGTCCATGAAAGCAGACTTCAAGCTTAAGCCTTGAGGTTGGCTGATTTGTAGTATACCATGGATAAAGACTCAAGACAAAGAATTTGTTTCACCATGCCGGGGTTGGCTTTGGGGATTTTTGCTTGCCTGCCTGTTTCTCAGATCTGTCTATATCCTATTTCACTACCTGGCATTCAGCTGCACTGAGAGCCCTTGTCACACTGCATGTTAAAACAAACACAAGGAAACCCTCTCAGCCAGACTTACTGTCGTTCCCCCTGTGTCACTCTGCTCTGCTTGTAAACCACGTTGACAGCGGTGTCATTTGCCAGCCATTCCACGTCAGTATGGCCATGGCTGCTCTGTCCAATAAACACTTTGCATGGGAGAGTCATCTTGGAGCCTGTTGGCAAAAGAAAGTTTAAAAAGACAATTAGATGCATGTGGAAAACAATTCTTGGTAAAAAGCAAAATCTCCAGCAAGAGATCAAGTTCCCTCACAGGTCAAGCACAACTACATTGAAAAGAGAAGCTAAATCCCAGATTGCTTTTGATTCCCTTCTCCTTGGCAGAAAGACCGTTCAGTTTGGCCGTCCTTCCTGCTGCTAACCAAATGATTTTTCCATTGCAACAGTTAGCAACTCTTACACTAGACACATTCCTCAGGAGGCAAAGTTGTGTTCTTAGGCCTTTCTCCCTCTGACGTACTACAGCCTATGGGTCATGGTGTGATTTACCACTCTGGAGCAACTGCGGTAACAAGCAGTGCAGCTTCACTCAGAGGTGCTGTGGACGAGGGCCTTCAGCTCAAGGTGTGATCTCCAGGGACAAAGGGATGGTGCAAAAATTCAGAATTTTTGCTACATTATTGTAAATTGGAGCTAAGGATAATGAGCCTTCAAACTGGTGTGTATTATGTGGAGAATACAGGGGTCAGCAGTGCATACAATTTTATGATTGTATCTGTGCAGATGGTGATAAAAGGGAAATTAAACACTCCAAGGAGCTAAACAGGAGGGGGGAAATAAATAAATAAATAAATAATAAGGCTTGGTGGTCCTAATCTGATAGGAAGAAAAGTGGCAGGGAAAACTAAGAAATCATGGGACACAGCTATGTGTATAGTACCCAAGTTTAAAACGCTGAGTGTAAAATACACCTGGCATTTTCTGGGAAGAGGAAATACAACAGAAATTTGTGGTCATAACATGATTTTCAAAAACCAAAAATTGAGATCAAGGTACTTTCTAACTAACAAAAACTGTCTAGTTCAAACAGTAGAAAGGAATGAAAAAATGTCTCCTCCCAAAAGAGCTAAATGGCTCATTCAAAGCCACCAGATAACCTAGACCAATTTGCGGGAATATTGAAAATTAACAGTTCTTAGCGAGGGGAGACTCTGAGCAGCTGATCCTGCTTTGCTAGAGGCTAAAATCTGCAGCATTTCTGCAGCTTCTCCTACATGAAAGACAGCATCTAGTTGTAGACAACAAGAGGGAAAAAAACACTCCAGCACCAACTCTCAGCTGGTATAATCAAGACCAAAAGAAATACAACAATTTATGCCAATAAATTACACTTTAAGAAGACCTGCTCTAGTTTTTGCCTGATTAGATGTTTCCAAAAACAATGTTGGGCCTTACCGAGAGGAGCAGATGTTGTCTTTTGTGTTGGATACACAATTATTGGAGTAGTTATCTTTTCTTGTTCTGGACAGAGAGAGCAGAGTCAGTGTTAGCAATACGGCCATTGTCCCAGAACTATAGATCATAGAATCATAGAATCCTAGGGGTTGGAAGGGACCTCGAAAGATCATCTAGTCCAACCCCCCTGCCAGAGCAATTCTACCAATTCGACCAATTCTAGCCTCTTTAAGTAGCGTTTCAGCACAGCTGATAAACTTCTGTAGTTCTTATGGAAAGGTGCAGCCCGGCTGGGAGTCGCAGCAGCGCCCCCTGGTGGCGGCTCCGCGCAGCAGCAGCAGCGCCCCCTGCCGGCCCCTCGGGCATCAGCAGCGCCCCGACCCTCCCGTCCCCGCCCCTTTGCGAAATAGCGGGTTTCCCCCACCCTCCGGTTTATTTCCGGAGCCCCCTGAAGTAATTTGCTGTGATCGACACCAATTATTCGGTTTAACACCCGCAGGCGCTCGCAGCATCAAGCTCTGCCTCCCGCACATCTTCTGTGCAGGTGAGGCAAAGAGGTGACCCCAGCCCTGCCAGGGATGCTGTGGGAAACCCCCCAACACAAAAACAAGCACCCGTGGCATCCCCTTTGCCTGTGCTGAGTATGAGTTCCTCTCCTGAGTTTCTTTGACAAATAGGTCTCAATATTTACCAGCAGTCTCCAGTAGAATAGTTCTGGTGATTTCATACGTTACACCTTCAAATGGAAATGCCATCTTGCAGGTGTAATAGCCAGCGTCTGTTTGTGACACAGAAGTCATGATCAGAGAAGTCGAACCTTTCAGAATTATGAATTTTTCATTGTTGTCTTCCAAAGGCAGGCCACCCTGGGGAAAGGACAGCAGCTGGTGTTACGGGCAAGGTGAGAGGTGCAGTTACGCTCTGTGTAACCTCCAGACAAAATTACTTATCCTCACGTCTTCATTAGTAAAAGTCTACATTTCACTGGGAAATCTGGGCAGTTCCACTTTTCCACAAAAGGCCAAGTTCTTCAACCTTGCATAAAATGGTAATAGAATCATAAAATGGTTTGGGTTGGAAGGGACCTTGAAGATCATCTAGTTCCAATCCCCATCTCTAAAATGCTCTGAGATACTATATGAAGTATGAAGACTCACTGTTTTAATTTGTCTGTAATGTGTGTATGTAGCTTTTCAATAAAATGCACGTTTTAGGATGGAAAAGTTGTTGTCGTTTCTGTACTGAGTTCCCTTAAGACTAGTCATCTAATGCATTCTTCTTAGACAAAATCATTTTAGTAGGTTTTCACAATGAAGGTGTGAAAGGTTTGAAGGTTTTCACAACACTGTTACTTTCCATCCATGACCTCATAAGAGTAATATTCTAAGCCATTCTTCTAAGATAAATGCACTTTAATAATAATGCAGGTTTCACAAAAATATTACTTACCCTACATAATCTCATAAAATGTGATCAATCCCAGTTCTGTATCACTAAGACTCTGATCACACATGGGTTGGATCCCTGCTAGGAGCAATGGTGTCCCTTTCCCATGTAGGCAAGTTAGCTCTTTCTGACAGGTGTAGCAAGAACCATATTGAGGTGGACAGCCTTGTACTTAGATGACTAACTGGGTTACAGGCATAGGCTGCTTCTGAAGGGGGTCAGAGACATTTTGCTGGTGTGGTACCAATCATGACATAGGCACTGCTGTATGAAGCCAGCTGAGGTATTGCATCTGATGGTATGAATGATAGACAGCTGCACGAGGCAGAGCCCACAGTCAAAGTGAAAGCTAAACCAAGGTCCTAAGGAAATAGAAGAAGAACTCTGTCCTGTTCAGTGCAAGATTGTACAACATTGATCAAGTGAAGGATATTTCACCTTGCAAGCACAACCAGGCTTGACTGCTTGAAAAGCCATGGGCAGGCAACACTATAAGCCTGATATGATGAATCGGCTATTTCCAAACACTGTATTCCAGTTGGTTGATGGAAACTACCCCATCAGAACTGCTCACACTAAGGAAGCATCACTAGCAGGTCCCACTTCATGGAATTCACTAGAGGGGCCATAAAAATGAAGCGTAGCACCAAAGACAAGGGGCTAATCTGAAGTGGCAAACCCTGGAGTTGCAGTATGTAGTCTAGCCTTAAACACAGTTACACAGTTGTGAGATCATATAACATGTGGAGCACTTCACCCTGTGCTGACTGCAACCCAGAGAACCTTTCTTAAAATATATAAATATGCCCCAAAATTCCCAGTATATTAAACTGTGCTCATGGCTTTAACAACATCATGTTCAGGAGAAGCAGGAAGTGGAGAGGTACATGCCTTTACAAACAGGTCAGGATTAGGCTTTGCATAAAGAGGAGGTGAAAGTTCTACCTTGTACCACTTGAGCTCCAAGCTTGTCCTATTTGGTGTAAAATCCCACAGATCAGGGCAAACAATCTTTCCAGATGTGAAGGTGAAGAGGAACTGGGAATAGGCAATCTCCTGAGCAGCTGTTTTCTCCATGACTGTGAGGTGGATGGAGACCTCTGCGCAGTAGGAGGAGTTTCTGCAGACAGAGCAGGGAGAGATGAGCAACCACCAGCAACTAAGGGAACTTGAGTAACACCTTTGATTTCCTCCTGGCGCTATATCCCTCTTTAGCTATTTCCAAGAGGTCAAGACTTAGTGATTTTCCAGGATCCCTCCTGGCATGATCTGATACTGGTTTTTTGGCACAAGTTAAACATGTTGCTGACAAGTATCTGCTTCGGAGCTTCAGTCTTTTTTTTGTACACCATGTTTGCTGTGCACCCTTGGGCTACAGCATGATTTTAATTTTGCAAGGAGGGGGACCATGTCCACCTAAACAGCAGCAGGTGTGTCATGAACCTTCTGCCATTTCCTTGAAAGAGAACTTGCTGTTGAAAACCCTAATGATGGAAAAAAAAGAAAGAAAGAAAGAAAAAAAAAGCTAAAGTACTAAAATACATCTACAGTTACTTTTGTGCAACCAGTAGGCATTTCTATGCATGCATGTAGTTTTCCATGGAAAAGAAGGCATTCCTGCCTTGAAAGTTTTGCAGTACTTAACTTATCTTTCTGGCCCCAACAGGCAATCTCTTCCAGTCCCAAGAAGCACCAAAATGGGGGTGTTTAAATTTTACAACCTCTGGAAGACTGTCTCAGAGATGCCTCCAGCCAGAGCAGAGCCCTGCAGGGACCAGCAAAGCCAGAGGGGACAGGCTGTGACCTCCTGGAGAACAGTTTGGGGGTTGGTTGCAGATGGACTCACACTATTGCTGGGGTACTGGGACAGGCTGTCACCTACAGGTCAAGCATCTAAATCCAAAATACTTGGCCAGCAAAAGTAGAGATCTGTATTCATCTGCTTCTACCCTTGTTTGACAGTGTTGAAAATCTGGTGGCTTCCCTGTAGGATGGTTTGCAAAGGAAATACAATTTGTTTGTACTTTATTAATCCCACAATAGTGCTAATGATGAAGCTATTGTACTCGGCTCTTACATATTTTTTTTTCAAACAGATTTCACAGCATTTTACTATAGTTGTCAATAACACCACCACACTGTTATAAGTCCAGGAACTGAGGCAGAACAGTCCAGAAAGGGCATTAAATACAACTTTCAAGGTCTCAGGCAGCTACTCTGTGGTCTAGGGCAAATTTGTTACCTTTCGTTATTGTGGCCTCACTATCAAGGTCTCCTCTTCTGCCCCATCACTGCAATTGTGGCTGAGACATGCAGAAAGGCCAACCCAGTACACTGAGCATGACTTATTGAGTTCTGCCTCTTCATCTCTTCCACTGATGACACATGTCACTCACGAGGTGTGCCTTTCCAGCTAAGAATCTGCTTTACAAATGCAGCTCTAGGGATGCAGAGATATGTTTACACCACAGACACCAGTTGCCAGGCACCTGAACTGAAATGGAAGGAGGAGCTGGCATGGAACAAGGACCCTGGATGTTTTCTGGAATTCAGGCTTCAATGGTGATGGGTGTTCTTGCCTTCCTCAGTCCCTCAGTCCCTTACAAATCCAGACCCTGGTGCCTTTTTTGAAGGTACAGGGAGCTGTCAGCTACTCAGAAAAACATAACCAAGTCTCAACCCACTGCAGTGTCACATGTTTGAGCCCAGACTGGTAAATACACATCAAGTCCCATGACAGATTAAAATGTGAAGCTGAAGAAAAGTAAACATAGGGATAAGGAAGACAGAAGAAGGAAGTCACTACAGAGCCTTGGTACATGCTTTGTAAGGCAAGCCGGGGTGTAAACAAGTCTATTTGCTTCCCTAGAGCCCTAAAAGGAAGGTTGGGTTCTGCAGAATCCCCTGGCTGAAGGATGTGCCTGCTCACCACAGACCTGACTGGCTCAGGTCTAGTGTTATGGTGTTATGGTGTTATGTCTATGTTGGTCTGTTATGCAAGAACAAACTCTCTGTTCATGGTTTCCTTATGAAATTGTAGCCAGAGTGGCAATACTGTGTAATGATATATTCAGATTTCAGTGCAAGTATCTACAGTAGACACATAATGCATTTAAAGTTCTGAGCTTCCACATATTTTTTTTCTCAATAAAGTCACCAAAGAAATTATCTAGACATACTCTGAACACAACTGGACTTTAGAATCAAGCTAATTATTTTACATAGTCATCTTGTTAGTGCACTGAATTTTCTTATCAATACCTACCTTCTTGTGCAGATATAGACTCCTGAGTCTTCTAGAGCTGCTGGTAAAAACCAGAGTGTGTCTCCTTTTGCCCAGATTCTTGGATTTTCCTCTCTTCCTGATATCATGGTTTCTGAATCATTTTTATACCATGTGATATTAGATGTCAAGGCAGAAAAATCCAAGTGTTTGTATCTGAGGGAAGGGCATTTCATAACCACAGGTTCTCCATGCAGTTCATAGTAGTGTTTGAAATACACGGTGTGATCTGAGCAGTTTTCTATATAAATCAGAGATATTTTTACATTACTGTTGGCCAGCCACACTAAAAAGAAGGGAGACAGAGGGAGAAAACAAACAAGCTAACAAACAAAAAGTATGCCCTTACCTGTGCTTTTGACTTGCTGGAGTCTGAAAGCAGAAGTGGTTGCTGTGCACAACACCAGGACAAAGAAAAGCCCACACATTTTTTTTCCCAGAGGAAATCAGAAGCAGTCCAAAGGAAAGTGTCTTGAAATCTATGGGGGAATTTTATTACAGGACAGAAGATTCAATGAAAACACACCATGTTAACTTAAGAGTTAACTGCTCTTTTCCTCACTCTGGACCTGGTGAGCTTAGGCTCACCCTCAGCCAGCAGAAATACTTCTTCATCCTTAGTTATGGAGGTTGACTTGTGGACCAAGAGCATCTGGTTTGGCATAAACACATCCTATCCCTTTTCTTTTGCTCCAGGAGATTCGAACAACATGCCACAAGATGCTGCTGTCCCCACAGCTTTTCACTGCAATATCTACAAGTGGAAAACTGTGACTGCTTATTTTGCAATGTGACTGAGGCACAGGTCAGTAGCTTGGATTCAGCTGTAGTGTAGTCGCTTGAGCGACTGCAAAGATGCAGCAGAACAGACTTTAGCTCTCTTATGCAATCACTTCAGGCATCTCCCAAAGTATTATTAACCTCATTAAATCCTGTGTCAATTTATCTTCCCCACTCTGGCTACCAAAGTAGGCCAGCTAGCATAGATCAGGCTGCAGCCAAATTTCCTGCTGTAACCACAGCTAAGCTTTCAAAACCTCCAACAAATATTTCTCTTGAGACAAAAAAATATTGTCTCCCATGGTACACACACACATCTTGCTGTTGGTGCACAAATGAGTTTTCAGCATGGACACTACTACCATCTGTGTTAAAACAGAGGAGAAAAACCTTAAACAACTTGCCCTAAATACCAGACACAATGACACTAAGGGAAAAAAAAACAAAACACACAAAAAAACCAACAAACTATTTGCTGTCAGTCATTCATTAATTGTCCTTCTGCCTGGCATGGGCAAGGCAGCTCCTGTGTACCTCACTGAATGCTTTCTGGTTTGCCACAAGGTATCAGCTACTGCTACTCAGTTGATTGATTATGTGTTATCTCAGTGTATCTCTGGCAAGAATACATAAAGCATGCTCTATATCAGCACCAGCTTATGCTCTGTGTAGGGTATTTAGGTGCAATACAGTACACATGCATGTGATAATATTTCCGTTGTATATACAGAAATGTAAAATGCATGCATTTAACACTAGCCTAATGCTATTGTTGTCCCATAGGATGGATATCAAATGACCGGATATCTATTTTGAAATTGTATCCAAAAGCAAAAATAAATTTTTACCAGTATACACCAGTCATATTTATATGTGCTTACCTTCAGGCACCTTCTGTATATCCTGTCATGCTTATGTTTATAATGTGTCTTTAATCCAAATTTCTCCCATTCTAGTAGCTATATTTACCTGACATCTGATAGCTGGACTAGAACAAACTATTTCCAGCTTATTGTAATCTCTACAACACCACAAAGTCACCTCTACTGTTTCACAGAACCATACAATTGTTCTGGTTGGAAAAGACCTTTAAGATCATTGAGTCTAAGCATTAACTTAACTCTTCTGAGTTCAGTGCTAAACCATGTCCCTAAGCCCGACATCTACTCATCTTTTAAATAACTCTAGTGATAGTTTTTCAACCACCTCCCTGGGCAACCTATTCTGGAATTTAATAACCGTTATAGTGAAGAGGTTTATTTTAATACCAAATCTAACCTGCCCCTGGCACCACTTGAGCACATTTCCTCCTGTCCTGTACTTGTTACATGGGAGGAGAGACCAACACCCACCTCACTACAACCTCCTTTCAGGTAGTTGCAGAGAGTAATAAGGTCTCCCCTCAGCCTCCTCTTTTACTGGCTAAACAACCTCAGTTCCCTCAGCCACTCTTCACAGGATTTCTTCTCTAGACCCCTCACCAGCTTCTTTGGTCTTCTTTGGACATGCTCCAGCACCTCAATGTCCTTCCTGTAGTGAGGGGCTCAGAACTGAGCACATTACTTGAGTTGCAGCCTCACCAGTGCTGGAATACAGGGGGACAATCACTTCCTTAGTCCTGCTGACCATTGACCAAAATTTCCAGGTCCTTTTTCTCTGGGCAGCTTTCCAACACCTTGCTAAAACCTTCATAACCACACATTGTCTCTTCTACCACTAGCCCTACAAGAGCTTCCAGGGTATTGAGGTGGAACTGTAGCCCCTTTCAGGGCTACGCTTGCACTCAGTGCTAGTGACTTTGTCTGCAGCACTAACAAGCCCCATGGTTCACATGTAAACATCTGTAACTAGGGAGTTGCTCTCACGTTGGATCCTTTGCCTGATGAAAATACTTGGTCATTTTTCCAGAGCTTTCCAGTCCCTTTGGTTTAGTGTCTAGAACTCTCCATTAGTCCTACACAAGCTGGGGATCTATGGGAGGTTTTCATTCCTAATTTTCATCAGATTCACTTACCTGTGGTTCTGCAGTCTTTCAGTCAATTAGCTCCTCAGGGAAATATATGACTGAAAATTGCTAGTGAGGAACTTATATAGGGTTTAGCCCAAGACAGAGAGGAAATTTGTGTCTTGTTGCCCAATCAGGTTTGTGTCAAAACCAAAGGACTTTTTTAGACCCACCTTTCTTTCCTTCCGTAGAGTGAGGATGAAAGAAACAGAGACTGAGAGAGAAAAAAAAAAATTATTATTTGGATTTCCCAAAAAAGAGGAAGTGACTGCTAAATATATGACTAAATTTCCCTTCTTCTGACGAAATCTGGTTTACACACACTTGTGTCTTCACATGACTATTTTACTCTCTACCTCAAATAAAAAATTCTCAAGGGTGCCTTGCAGCACAGTCAGCAGCTAAATAATTGCAGTCTTTACATAATATAGTTTACTAAGTTCTTCATGGACAACACAAAACTTCTGTGATTTTCCCAGATAGCTTGTGAATCACTAATGGGTTGATTCCCCTTTCCTTCCTTAACATCCATCTTAGTGTCACAGCTTACCTCAAAGCTCCCTTTGCCATGGAGTATAAAGAATTTACAGATAGAAGTAGATTATGATGTCCAGGTTCATGAGCAGACAGGTAAGAAATGGGTTATCAACTGTGATGATATTGGCCTCTCCCTGTTTAGAAGAGGGCAGTCTAGTGAGGGACTTCAGTCTGGAACGGGACCACAGGCCGGTTTTTGTGTGCCTGGTCCTGACATGTGATGCCTCCTGCAGGAACTCCTACATTTCTCACAGCCTCGGGGTCCCTCAGGGGGCAGCTGGCATGCACTACCTCTCTGCTAGCCCAGGAAGGCTGTGTGTGGCATCTGGATGACCAGATTAACATGGAGTTAATACAGAGGTCCCTGCTAGCAGACCTCGATAAAATATCCTCTCCTCTTTGGACTCCATAAACCTCAGCTCGACAGCCATGGACTGGAGAACATGGGTTCTAGTCTAAGGCTCAGGTTTTGTGGTGCTCTCACTAACTGAATAGTCACTGAGTGAGAAAAATAAAATAGCTGCTTAATGCAGTAAGCCTGTAAGAACCATCTTTTATTTAACCCTATTCATAATTCTTTCTTTAACTAGTATCAGCCTCAGTTATACTGGATATCTCAGAATATTGTATCAGAGGTGAAAAATTGTCAAGTTTTGAACCCATGCTGAAATCTACTACGGAGACAAGAAGCATAGATGCTGACATCTATTAACATACTGCAATCTTTGGGGCTGTGCACATGTTTAGGTTGCACATATTCTTTTGTGCAGACAATATCCACCACATTACTACAACTTCAGTAAGTAAACAAAAAGAAAAAAATCAGGAAGCCCCATACCTTAGAATCATAGTATGGTTTGTGTTGGAAGAAACCTTAAAGATCATCTAGTTACAACCCCCCTGTATGGGCAGGGACACCTCCCACTAGGCCAGGTTGCTCAAAGTCCCATCCAGCCTGGCTTTGAACACTTCCAGTGAGGGGGAAGCCACAATTTCCCTGGGCAACCTGGACCAGTGCCTCACCACCCTCATGGTGAAGAATTTCTTCCTGATGTCTAAGCCCAAATCAACACTCTTCCAGCTTAAAACCATTACCCCTCATCCTATTACTGTGTGCCCTTGTAAACAGTCCCTCCCCAGGTTTTCTGTAGCCCATTCAGGTACTGGAAGACCACTTTAAGATCTCCTGGAGCCTTCTCTTCTCCAGGCTGAACAACCGAGACTCTCTAAGCTTGTCTTCCTAGGAGAGGTGCTCCAGCCCTCTGATCACCTTCATGGCCCTCCTCTGGACTCATTTCAATATCTCCATGTCCTTTCTGTGTTCGGGGCTCCATAGCTGAACAAAGTATTCCAGGTGGGGTATCAGAAGAGAAGAGTAGAGGGTGAGAATGACCTCCCTTGATCTTCCAGCCACAGTTCTTTTGATGCAAAGTAGGATACAGTTGGCTTTCTGGGCTGTAAGAGCACATTGCCAGCTCATGTTGAGTGTATTTAAATCTGTAATGGTCTTTACAGTTTCTGTATTCTGATCAGCACTTAACTGTCTGGTTTTCCTTTAGCAAGTCCTGCTTTCCCTGAACCTGAAAGGCTGATAATGCAATTAATATCAGTTACTGTCCTCTGGTGCTCCATCTTCTCTGTGAATTGAAAGATCTCATCTCCATTGATGCTAAACTCCCACACTTAGACTATGAAAATACTGGTCTTGCTTTTTGGAGCCCTTGCACTTCATTCTGATAATCTGACTTCATGATTTATAACATTATTTCAGTCCTTCCTTTTCCCACTCACTGTATAACAATCAGACCAAAGGGCTGTTGGATTGGCAGACCAGTTATATTAAGACTTAGGTCATGCTATTACTGTATGAGTGACTCGATAGAGATGGGAATCTCTAATGGTAACCCTGACAACAACAGCCAGGCAAGTTCCCAGCAAAGAACCTAGATGTTTACCAGACACAAAATGAATAAAACTGCAAGTAATGTCTTTGGAAAGATTGCACCTACCAAATGCAAATGCATTCATTGCATTCACCAAGTATGGCTGAGAGAGTTGGGACTGTTCAGCCTGGAGAAGAGAAGGCTCCAAGGAGACCTCATAGAGGCCTTCCAGTACCTGAAAGGGCTACAGGAAAGCTGGGGAGGGAATTTTTTTACAAGAGTAAGAAGTGGTAGGATGGCAGGTAATGGTTTTAAGCTGGAAGAGGGTAAATTTAAGTTAGGCGGTAGGAAGAAATTCTTTCCCGTGAGGGTGGTGAGACACTGGAACGGGTTGCCCACAGAAGTTGTGGCTTCCCCTTCCCTGGAAGCATTCAAGGCCAAGTTGGATAAGACTTTGAAAAACCTGGTCTAGTGGGAGGTGTCCATGCCCATGCAGGAGGGTTAGAACTAAATGATCTAAAAGTCCCCTCCAACATTAGCCATTCTATGATTCTACAATTACTCTATGTAGTAAAGTCACCCAAAAGCAAGCTGTTCAATGAGCAGCAGAACTGGCATCACTTGCTTTCCTGGAGATCTGTGCTACATACACACACATATACACACACACTCCCTTCCACTGCAGCCACTTCAGGTCTCCTCTCACGGCCCTTCCCCATCAACTCCAGCCCTTTCATGTCCTTTGCTCCCACCTCACCCATGGCTAGTTTGCCTAGGCCAGGTGCAGCACATCCTTGGACTTGCTCACAGTGACATTGAAGTTAACTGGTCAACTTTTCATTGCCCAAAACCACATGTAAGGACTGGGCTCTGCCTGGCTTCCCCTCCATGAGGGAATGCTTTGTGTTTTTTCACCTGTACATGCCACTAGTGACCGATTTTCATCACACTTCTACAAATCTAGACTCTGAAAATACAGCCCCTTGGAAAATGCAGCTGAAGCAGGCTAAAGAGTTCAAGGAGAGTTTATAGTCCAGTAACATATGCTGACCTGCCTTAGAAAACCAAAATAAAAGAAAATATTTACAATGTAGCAGAGCAGTTCCGAATTAGCATCACGTCCTCAGACAAGCCTAACCAGGATCAACATTTTAATCAACATTGTTCAGAAGAGCTCTGTCCTGGCTGCCTTTTTGCCCAGAAAATGTTCTGATCACATGCACCAGTACTATGACTTTGTTAAAATAGTATATCTGGAGGTGCAAAAATCTGGTTTAAAATAACTCAGGAAGAAATGGGAGGTAGTTTTTAGGAGCAGTCTGATGAGAAGGCCATGACATTTTGTGGTCAGATATTACTGAGTATTTATAAACAGAAATATGCAAGTCTAGCAGCTATACATAGAGAGAGACTTTTAGGGAAGCTGGTGTCATTCTGTGGTTTCCCTGTGCTGATGATTCATGTATACATCTCAAGATGCTGGAGCATAACTGTGAAATTCCTAACATGAAGACAACGCTATTCCCCATGTGTCTCACTCATTGCTCATCTCCTCAGGTCACCATTTCCTGCAACCAGGGCTACATGCCTTGCTGCATTTGGGTGGATTTTGTTCTCCCAGGACATCCCAATAATCCCCTCTCCCTGGAGATGTTCAAGGTCAGGTTGGACAGGGCTTTGTGCAACCTGCTTTAGTGGAAGGTGTCCCTGCCCTTACAGAAGGGTTGGAACTAGGTGATCTTCTAGGTCAGTTCCAACCCAAAGCATTCCATGATTCTATGATTCATGTAACTAAAATCTCCAGTAATTCTTCATCATTCTTCATCATTCTTGCAGTTCCTTGCAACAGAGGCTTTCAAAAGGTCTGCAAAAGTAAGATGTGTCTTTTCATTATCCCTAATAGATATTCCCTAATGGAAGGGGAAATGGAAATTCAGGCATCATGAAGCGGAGGTAAGACCATTTCTATAAGGGACAGTTATGATGCCTGCTTTCTCTAGCAACTCCCAGGTTCTGCTGGATATCCTGGAGGAATTCATACAAGTAGCTATGTGGCTGATCATGTTTGGCATCAAATAACTGCACTCACATGGACTTTGCCATTTATTCTGCTATTCAGCTTGGCTGAGCCAGCTTCACACAATTAAAAATAGGAGAAGATTTCTATGGTTCACACAAGAATAAGGTAGCAAGGCATTAAGAAATATTGGATGTTGAAAGATGACTGGCAAGTAGATGCAAAGTAAACCACAACTATTGCACCAACACATGTTATTTGGCTTAATGATTTGCATAAACCTGCTTTTAATAATTTATAATGTCTGTACACGTTTCCCAGATGGGCTCTTGGGGAGCATGGAAATGGAGAGGGAAGAAAATAAGCTATCTAACTCTGAGAAACACCAAATTGATAGAACAGAAAGACTAAATAGAGGACTTAGCCCAATGCACAACATATGCCAAGCTTACAGGAACTTGCATGCTTATCCAGAGAAATGAGTGCTGTCACACACCACTTGTATATGACTGGCTGGGAAGAACAGGAGGAGACAGGCCAAGAGACTGTGTCATGAGAGAGTGCTTGTTTGGCTAGAGCAGTGACAGCTCGGTTATAGATTGCCTCCCTGCTATGGACTCCTGGGACTTTCACAGAGCTTTTCACTGCAAAAGAAACCAAGCAGGCTGTGAAGAATAATTACACTGTCAAGAACTGGAATGGGCAGGAAGGAGGAGACCCTCATTTTGGGTAACAAATGCTTCCAACTCTGCTGGTTTGCAAGCTTTAAGGGAATGCACTAATATCAAATATTTTCTGGCATCTGAGCACCTATTCAGGCTGCCCAGGGAAGCGGTCAAGTCATCATCCCTGGAGGTATTTAAAAGACATGTAGATGTGGTGCTTAGGGACATGGTTTAGTGGTGGACTTGGCAGTGTTAGGTTAATGGCTAGACTTGATGATCTTAAAGGTCTTTTCCAAAAAAAGTGTAATGTGATTTCATGATTGAAGAAGTCAACAGGCTGCAAGGGACAAAGTAATGGCTAGAAAGGTCCAGAGCCAGCAGCAATGAGTCCAGAAGTACGTCAGTCAACAAAAAGTGCCTCACCTGCCCTCCCCACAAATGGACCTTGGGTTGGCCAAGAGAACTACC